AGAGCGGTGTCCATCGCGATTCACCGCGCACAATCAATGAAGTTTGATTCTATGGGTACACCAAACGGACGACCGAGCCGAAGGCAAATGAAACTAAACGTGCGATACATATGCAATTTGGCACGTGTATTTCTATTTTTCAGAGTAAATACAGAGATCATCGGCATGTATCTCACTAAAATTTGAACTGTTGCACGAGTTACCAGCCGATTTTTATTCTCGAGTAAGGTTTTTACTCGAGTAAGGTAAATTGCGACTCGTGCACCACTCGCGGTATAGCGCGAGTTGACAATCGGGCGTTTTGGAACCCGATAATTTACATATTACCGAGATTTGTTTGCACCAGTCTGGCATGGTTCGCCACGAGAGAGTGAGAGAAAGAGAGAGACGTCAAATAGAACTTCTCCGATTAACTAGGAACCACACTATGCCGCGTTGTTGGGTTACATTGCGGTGCTAATCATCCATTGGTAACCAAAAAATAACGCTCTAGTCTAAAAGCTATTTGCTCTAAGTATTATCCGCGGATAAAAGCATGTAGCTGCGAGTCGAGACTGCGGACACAGGTTTACTTTAAAGCCGCGTTCGTACCAACGTGTTCGTGGGACGCCGATTTTTTTTCTCTTCTCGAGTGATAACGCTTGGTAATTGGCACCATGCAAACGTTACGCGTGTATGCACACGCACATATCGATATACGACTGCACAATCACCTTGCGAAATTATGTTACCGGATTTTTATCATAAGGACTTTATGAAAGTCCAATCCAATGTGAGATGTTAAATTTTGTAATCCTTGTATCAAATATATTAACAAATAATATTGTGTTACAAAGTTTCTTTTTCTCAACACCTGAATATTTTTTTACACTGTAATAATATAGATTCCCTTTCATTGTTTATGTGTACAATTTTAGGTAACATATTCAAATAATAAAATTTATTTGCAATATTTAATGTCCAAAAATTATATTCAATTACTAGTTTTCTGTTTCTTGAATGATGACTCTTAGATATTTTCAACTATGAAAATAGGTTATACGAGTGATGGTATATTATGTAGATATTACGAATTTGCGTTATTACATAAGAAATTCAAAGTATTTCTAAAAATTCAGGAGTTTCTAAAAATTGAAGAGTGATGAAATTTTTGATAAGCATATTTGTCAGTGTATGAAGAAATACCTATTGTTCGTTCAGAAACACAAAGTGTTACTTAAGATTTGTTATTCAATGTAATTAATACATCCGATATTTTAAAAGAGAAATTTCAGTTCAGTAACATAATTACCACTGGTAAATCGGGATATTTCAAATCAATTTCAATATCTTGCCTTTTACCTAGCGCATGAATGACCTATTTGTTGAAAGATTTTGATAAGCTCGTGAACAGAATTCGTAATCGCATTGATTAGATCCATTTTCAGGGTTGATGACCTGTATTATTACATAGCAAATACCAATACGAATAAATCTATTTAAGCCAGTATGTATTTCATGAAAACGGCGTTCTCTTACACCGTCTTTTTTTAAATGCGGGTTTTTTGCTGAAGAATAAAAAAGTAAAAAGGTAAAAAAAATATTCTGTGGCGATGAGATTCCTTTTTTTATTATCGGTTTTCTTATTATCTATGTCGTGCAAATTCATTATTCCATACAATTTAAGCGCTGAAGTCTGATTTATCTAAAAAAGATCGCCAGATTATCATTCAAAGCTCTGATTTACGCTTTAATCTTACGTAGACATTCCGAGTTTGAACAATGAACAAGGGTTTAACGAAGATCTCATCCTGTGTTTAACAGTATCATGTTACAAAATTATAACAATAACTACCGTCTCAGAATCTTCGAATCTTAGTATTAAAATCCATTCCAGGGAGATTATTGAAGAGTACCTACATCAACGTTACTTTACAAAGGGCACATGCGTTTTGAATGAAATCTTGTTTTCACACTATAATATGAAATCTTGTGTGGAAGTTGACAGTCGAAATGCGCTGAATAGCAATTTCCGTGAAAGAAGAAATTTCACACGCGATTTATCCCCTTGAGCATAATATCTTTGAGGATACAAGGTCCCCGGGTGAGGTGAAGCGTAACTCAACCAAGACAGGTTGCATCGAGATGTTATGGTAAACATACAGCGAAAGATCTCGCACCTAGGTGTGAGATCGGGCTTGAAGTTTGCCTGGGTAAATAGACGGGAGGATGGGGTTTATGTTTCTGTCTCAAATTCCTTACGTGCAGGCGCATAACCCCTTCGAACCTTAATGCACCGTAACGTTTAACGACTTCGTCAAAGAGACTTCCATGGCGCTGTTTGCACATCGTCTTTTAGAGGACCACGGTACCAAAAGTTTGGCAAGACGATTATCGGCACACGTATAAGCGGTCGGGTTGACGGGAACGTTAAGATTCTTCTGGGTGTGCCTATTCGCATTCGCACATGTGTCGCCAACTCAGCACCGATCCACGCTACTTGAATAAGCAACGATGAAAAACGTCGGGACATGCAAAACGTTACGTTCGCTCAGCTCGTCTGCGGGAGTAGCAAAGTGTGATCGTAAAATGCTTTTCACATCTAGACAATCTTTCTACGTATTCTGAAATTTACTTTTGAGAGGACCGTAAATGACGAAAGACACAATAGAGATGCAATGATCAAATTGATATTAAGGATATTTCTAACAAGACATATTAAACACTTGCGAGAAAAGTGACACAAGTAAAAAATATAGAATTGTTCTGGAAAGAAGAAAGAAAAAATGTTAAAACTAATTATTTATGATAATTAAATTCATAATGTTAAATTATACTTTGCAATTTAAATTATTTTCAATTATTATTTATATATAGATCGTTACTGTTTCTACTCAATATGTCGTTAATTTAATTAAAACAATGGCGTTAAATAATTTAACTCAAGAAAATATATTGAATTTAACTCACTTTAGTTTATTATTTATTAGGCATAAATATGGACGTTATTAACTATAAAATTAAGTAATTCAGTTATAGAAATGGATTGATTTACATTTTGACATACATGGAAGCGAACATGGAAGTTAATAATGGCAAAATGTTATTGAACTTAAAAGATTAGGTTGATGTCATTGATTCTTTGATATCTAGCAGTGTATTAATATAATTGTTAATCACAAGTTTACTAGAGCTAATCACAAATTGCTTGTTTCAAGTTTCAAATCTAAAAGCAATATTAATTCTGTTATAATGTTATGTTATATCTATTATGCATACCTCTAAAAACTACTTTTATTTTAATTTTATATTATTTTTTTGTTTTTTGAATTCTTTTCTATTTGAATTTAACTTGTATCATTTTTCCTAATAAAGATTGATGAATTTAGAATACAATCCAAACATAAAACAAAATCTAAAAGATTTCGAACTTGTGGCACTTTTTTTTGCAAGGATGCGATTGATCCCCATTCTAAACTGCAGCGTCAATTATTTTTACAATAATTATAATAGACGAAAGTATATTTTGCCAAATCATGTTTTCGGGTATCTGCTATGATAACAAACTCCTGTACTTCTCGCTAATGCTCGTGATAACTTACTGATAGAATTGAGTCCGTAGTTGGTATGGTAGACGGATTGCGATGGGCTGTTGATCGGCAGCCCGGAGTTGCCGAGACTAAGGCTGGAACCTAAACTTCCCGTACTTTGTTGACCGAGTTGCCCAAAGCCACTCATCGTCATGCCGCTTTGCAATTGTCCGAGACCTACGGAGCAGATGAGCACAATTAAATACACAAGGGGCAATTAATGCAAGGTTACGTGACGCGAGGGGATCACAAAGAAACGAAAAGGATCGGTTAGTTATCGGTGTCATTGTCGGTACAACCGTCGGTGAACAACTGTGGCACCGATAATACGCAGTAAGTAATTTCAGCTGTCTCAGCCAGTGGACGGGCAAAATTAAATTAGGAGGCGAGCATCGTCGAGACTTCGTCTACGAGAATTGGTGTTTCCTTCTCATGTTGCTTCTTCTCCCGTTAGCGCGTGAACGAGATGCTAATCATATCGCGCTTTAAATGACATGACGAATCGTGTGCAATTTGCATAGACGCGGATAATATGCTTCGATTAAATCGTGAACCAAACGTGCCTACGTCTTTGAGGATTTCTTTGTTACACTTGCGTTCTAATCTCGGCATTACTTCATCTTTTAAAATAAAATTAATTGTAACATACATGCAGCATATATGTATATAAAATGAAAATATATTTGGAAACTAAGTAGATTAAAAATCTAAAAGTTTAGATTAATTGCGTGTAAACTGTTGTACATTAAATTACCTATAAAAAAATAATTATGAATTTTTCAGATACGTCGTTAACATTTTGAGAAATGTTTAAAGTCGACGGTCTCATTGATTATATATTAAATTATATATAAAATAACTACGAATTTCAAATATGAACATTTTGAGAAATATTTAAAGTCGACGGGTTTCATTATGATTGCACATTAAATTATATAAAATAATTAGGAATTTCAAATACGTCGTTAACATTTTGAAAAATATTTCACTGATTTCATTGATCACTAACGTAAAAGAGTAAAATTTCTTGACGCTTGAACATAATTATTTATTTATACACATTTAAATATTCATACTCTTTCAAAACTATTTGATTTGCAAAAATGAAAGAGATGATTGCAAAAGTGTAATATCGACTTTATTTAATTTCTCTTTCTCTTCTCATTGTCAGTTTTCTATGAATTATCAAAATAAATTGTGTAAGTATTTCATAAGACAGCGGATCAATTTAAAATGTCTAACTAGAACACGTTAATGAAGAAATGCGAAAAATACGCAAGCAGACTAAGACATTATATTTTTTTCTCTATACATTTGTAACGCATTATTGTAACGCATTACTAATGTAACGCATTATTTATAATTTCGGATTTATAAAATAAAGCAAACAAAATAAAAAAAAGAATGATACTATGAAAAATAAGTAGTTTTGTGTAAATATATAAAGTATTTAACTAACATAGCAATCTACTAACATTGCAGTATATATTGTATGTTATGTATTATAGAATACCATCAATACTTTATTAGTAATGTGACATACGAAATTGATAGCTGCTACGGAAATAACTGTCGGAGAAGACAGTTTTTTAAAGCATTTCAGGAAATTCTGATATAAATCCTCATTTTTAAACATGCACGGTGATAAATATCGAGTCCTTGTGAGTAATAATGCAGGCGATCGAAAGAGCGTTTCCTGTCCTGGCCAAGCAACGTAAGCAGATAGATAATTTCTTTCTTTCTTTTTTATCTTGCGTTTCTTGGTTACGGTTAGTGATAAAAGCTATTGATATCTGACCTGTCCCCATTCCCCATCTGTCCGCAGGAGTATGAAACATTCCGGTGCACAAGTCGGAGGTCATCGGTCCGAAGGGAGGCAAGCCGTGCGACGGTAGCAGCGATCCCGAAGACCGGAACACGTTGGTTGTCTTCTTGCGCTTCTTCCATTTCGCTCTCCGGTTTTGAAACCATACCTATAGACATACACAAGAATTGTTATTAACAATCCGTTGGAAGAAGTATAATAATTTTTAAAACTCTAAAGCAGCGTGAAAAACATTTCAACCTTTTCCAAATTGCGATATACTAAATAACGAGCTAAATTTCTCGAGATACACACTATTCAATTCATATAATGTTAAATTATATCTAATTTGAGTCATTTTTAACCATTTCTATAAGTCGCCACTGCTCTTACTCAATATGACATTAATTTAACTCAAATAATGAAGTGTTAAACAACTCAATTTAAAAAATGTATTAAATTTGACTCATACACACAAATTTAGTTTATTATTTACTAAGTGCATACGTTAATATAGGTGTTTTTTTTTAATCAACTATAGAAATGGATTAATTTACGTTTTGACACTTGGAAATTAAAAATAACAAAATATTATTTAACTCAAGGGATTAGGTTACCATTTATCCCTTAATATGTAACAGTGTATCTAACAGAACATCATTAGGTGTATAAGCTTCAGCGCTTAGCATAGATCTTTCATCAAATATTGTTAATACATGCAGGAATAAAAAGTAAAGTTCTAAAATTTTCATTTTTTATTTTATCGTTTTAAAAGTGATTCTATCGCAATGATATCGTTTTGGTCAAAACGATAATAAATACAATATAATTTAAACAATTTTCACAATTTTTAAAACATTTATTATTTTGAGCTTTTTACTCACTTTTTTATTCATTTCTAAATTTTACTAATCTTCTTTCAAAATTTTTGTTGCACATTTGGAGACTTTTTGTGGTGTACCAATGTGTCATGGCACATCGGTTGAAAAATACCCTGCTCTAGAAAAAATATTAAAACTTCGTATTTTTGGTCACATTCGTTCATATATAAATAATGTTTCTTACATTTTCACCAACGATATTTTTTATTTTTTATTTTTACCAAATTGAAACTAATTAGAAAAATTAATAAGTCTCGATCTCATTCATCATTGAGTAAAAGAAAATTATTGAGTTAATTATTATTCTTTCTACACGATATTTTTGTTTCTGACGTGATCAAAAATCGCATCTCCGACAATTTCTTTGCCCGCCCTCTCCCCCGCGATAAATTTTTTTTTCTCAACAGGACGCAACCAAATCCAACCATTGCGATGGTAAGGTGTCCCTCGGTGTTACGACAATATCTTCGACCCCACCGCGGGTAGCTATTAGCCGACGTTATGAGCTGTTGATTCTGGCCACGTAGTGGCCCCCTAAGCTGCCGGGGTCCCGGGGACTTGATTTATTGATATCGCATGCAAAGCCCGCCTCTGTGTTCTCCGATATACCTACCCTCGCCCTATCTCGCCACTACCACCACCGCCACCACCACCACCAGTACCAACGTACCACCACCAGTACTACTATTGCACCAGTCTCTCTCACTCTCTCTCGCTTCTATCCTTCTCCGCAGACTATAGTCCCTTTTCTGGCACGGTAGCTCGCACTATAGCCATCTCATATGTGCCTATAAATTAGTACTTTAGCATTAGAGCGCGGGATGCGCGCTTGCGCCACCATACGCACCCGTACATACCATACCACACACGCACGGTAGCGAGACATACACGGAGAAGAGTAGCACGGCAAAGACCGAGAGGGGTGGCGGTTCGAGGGGTAGGAACACCCTACGCTAACATACGAGGATTATACGAATCTAATTGGATATATGGGATTTACACGCTCTAGTATATATATCTCAGGCATTGCAACGAAGCGATCGTTGCATTCTTACGCAAAGATCCGTTAATATCTAGCACAAGATTTCGGATCGATACACGACAGGATGTCAGCATCTTTAATTCATCATGCTGTCGCTTGAAAACTTAACAGTTTCGATTCATTAATTTTGCATATATTATGTAGTTTCATAACCGTTGACGTCTTCATCAGTGAAGCGATTACTATTGTTTTTTAAATTTTTATCGGATTATGATAATGCACGTATAACAACTTAGTTCTGTAGCATTATAATAAACGACTACGTGGAATTTAGTGATTACTGGTGATTTTAAATGACTTGATGTAAATCTGTTTATCTTTATTTCTAATCCTTTCTTATACGTACTGACTTATCTTTCTTAATTTTTAATTGAATACGAACAATGATGTCATTTTTGGCTAAATTAACGTTTATCGTTCCGTGATATTTGTCGGAGGCTCGTAACAGCTGGCGGGTCTCTTGACTCTCAAGGATGGACGCTCGTGACGAGAGAATGGCATTAGAGCTGGGTGGTGTTAAGTGCATTGGGACCGAATCAGCGTCTATATATCAGTCAATGGCGTAGAATCGAATGCTCTCCTCCATCTCCATAAAATTCACTACATCCTTATAAAGGTGGATATGTCTACGATTTCGCATATGTGAATGCACATTTCTCTTAGGTGACATCACATTTGTAACTTTAGACACGAATATACGATGGTTTGATGAAAAAATTCGCAAAATTTTTAAACATTTCAGATATTTATGCGTAATTGCAAAATTGTCCAATATAATTTAACGCATTTATCTAACGTATGTTTAACATTACAGATGCTTGATCGCATATTAAAATTCTCGTTTTACAAAATTTTACTACCATAAATATTTAACAATTAGATATTAAGCTAATTCAAAGCTTAGTTAAAATTTAAAAGTTACATTTACTAATTGTTATGGTATATTAGCAATACAGGTTTCAATTCTTCATACATTTTAAAATGTTTCTTCTTAAAATGATTTTACAATCAAAAATATTTTAATTTATTTACTATTAAGTCTTTTTCGTGTATAATAGAATGTGTAGCTATCTTTGTTCCTAAATAAATAGATCAAATAGAATAAATTAAATGTATGAATAAATATAAATATTAGATTCAAATAAAGCATATTTATTAATTTATATTCAAAATATCTAAGACAATTATAATTTTATTATAAGTGCTTTCATCCCCTGATTTCAGCTTTGTTTTTCATTTCTTAATAAAAATTTTTCTTAAAATTCTTCATATAATTTTCAGAATTTTTATGTAAATTTCAGGATTTATGTACAATTTTATAATTTTTTAGAAAAATTCTCAAATTTTTATACGAATAGGAACATTTTTTTAAAGTTGCTGAGAAAGTCTATATCTTTTCTAAAGTTTTTTCTATATATGTACGTGAATTTTGAAATACTGTAAGATTTTTAACACCTTAAACATCACAATGAGAATAATACTGTTAAATTCATAATGTCAAATTATGTATATCCATTTAAGTTATTTTTAATCATTTCTATAAGTCGCCACTGCTTCTATTCAATATGTCGTTAATTTTAATAAAACAGTTGAATTGAAAAATTTAATTCAAAAAATGTATTAAGGTCAAATTTAGTTTATTATTTACTAAAGTGCATATATTAATATAGATTTTGAAATTAACCACATAAATAAATTGATTTATATTTTGGCACACATAAAAGTTAAAAATAATAAAATGATACTTAACTTAAGGATATGAGTTATTGTTGCTCCTTTGATATCTATAAACAATGCACTTTCGGATACAGCATACCTAACCCAATTCAATTGCATGTAACTTTCATTATAAAAATGATATTATAATCAATTTTTTTTAAATCAAAATGCTAGATATTAAGGAATATAATGGTATTAAGTAGACGTATGTATTTTTATTAATAAAGAAGTTATTAATAATGGAAAAACATTTAAAAAAAGGAAAAGCCGGGTATGCCATAACAGATGTTTGAGGGTTAAGATTTTTCAGTCTATAATTTCTTATGAAAACTTATAAAATCTGAAAAATTTAAGGTACTCTTTCGAAATCTTAATAAATTTAAATATAACAAATTCTTGAAAATACTATGAGATATTATACATTTTTTCACCAGAGTTCAATCTATACATATATTAGCAGAGCATCAAATAATACAAATATCAAAGATATTATATTATATATATATATATATAAATGTAAAGGTATCTTCAATTTTTCATGTTTTTAATACAATAAATTTTTTAAGTGTCTTCAAAATTTTCTAATTTTCACAAAATATATAATTTTCATCTACCAATTATATACTTATATTATTTTATTTTAAAGTAACCATGACGTGCAAGCTTTTAGCCGCTCTTTTCCGGAACCACGTCGTCTTTGCGTCGACGAATCGTCTCCTGACACGTCAATTTCACGGTAGAATTACGATGAAACCGCGACTAAAAGCCCGTGGATAATCCACCGTTACACGCCGATATGGTCCACATAGAAGAGGGAAAAAGCAGAGAGACTGCCTACGCGCAAATCGCGCATTATCACGTACACCCTCTATCCCGCGCACAGGTGCATCGAGCCTACACACATATGGCAGAACTTCCGTTAATTAACACTGGCGGATGCTAATGACTTCTGTTACGAAATAACAACGCACGAACGAGTGCTTTCGATGCGCGTGTCCGATACCGAAAAGCCGTGCAACCGATGAGTTCTTTGTACGTATATCTGAACCAAAGATTTACATTAGAGAACGATTGGAAATATCATAGCATGCAAACAAGTACACAAAATTTCGAATTTATATTTGCAATAAATTTACATGTTTAGTATCGTGATAATATCGTAGATAAATTAAAGTAATTTTAATACATCGAATGCATAAAAAATATAAAGAAAGATTTTATTCTATAGAATTTCGAATAATAAAGTCAACAGAAATAATTTTTAACGACGAAGAATAACGACAGCTAAAAATACATGGAATCTTCATAATTGCAATCAATCTAATGTCCATGCTTCCAAATACGTGACAGTTTCTTTTTGGAATTGAGTGAAATCGACAGCCTGAGTGCTTTATATACTGAAACTTTTAATCAATGTGATTGAAACAGTATAAAGATATGTTGAATTCACTTCATAATGTCATTAATCGAGCTTAAAATTTAGCTCTACGAGAAATGCAATCGTTTTATTTTTAGTTTTTTAAATAT